GCGGGGTGGAGCTCTGCCTCCTGGGAACTGCAGAGGTGTGGACAGAACTTGGGGTGCTGTGTGCCCCATGCGGGCAGCACAGAACTGGAAAATTCTCCTGGGGAAGGGGAGAAGACTGGCAGAACGTGGTGGGCTGCAGACAGAACCCCATTCTGGAGTCCCTGGCTCCCTCTGCTGTGCCCGTGGCAGACCCACACAGGCCGAACCCTGGGAGCGGCCTGCACGGGCCACCGCGGCAGGGTCCAAGTCCGCGGCCTGCACCCTGGGCAGACGGGTGGGCGCCCACTCACGAGGACTGTGGTAGCTGTAGGAGCCAGGGGTCCCCGTGGGCCGCAGATGCATGGTCCGGGTCTCACACTGGTCCTTCCTACAGGCAGGTCACCTTGAGGTCAGGGGTTAGGTGTCCCCAGACCGCGACAGTGGACAGGGCTCCCTGGTCCCGAAGCCAGCCCGCTGTGCGCCCACCTTAGGAAGGTGGAGGTGAGATTGAGGCCGCCGTCGGCGCTGGGGGCGACCACAGTGGAGCACATGGACATCGTCGCCTTCTTCTCCCGGAACCAGCTCGAGTTGGAGGCGAGGCCCGCGCTGAACCAGCGCCCCATGAACTGCGGGAACCGGACACCAGCGCCCCGGTCGGTCGGCGCGACCCGGGGAACCCCCATCTCGACCCGGGCGGGCTCCCCACTTCCACTCGTCCCCTAAGCCCCGCCCCAGGCCGAGAAGCTCCGCCCAACACCAGAAACCCCGCCCCATAGCGAGTCCCCTCCCGCCGAAGCCCCGCCCCGTCAGAAAAGCCCCTCCCCGGCACCAGAAGCCCCGCCTCTATCTCGAGGTCCCGCCCATAGCCCCGCCCATAGCCCCGCCCCGGCAGGGCCGGTCTCTTCCCCGCCCACTGCATCCCGGTCCGGGTGGGGCGACCCGCTCGTGGGAGGAGCCAGCGACCCCTGGGTTCCTGGAGGGCAGGCTTTGGCGCCCCTCAGCCGAGCGCTGGGGGCAGGGATTCGAGTCCCCGCCAAATCGGCGCGACCGTGCGTGGCTGTGTCCGTGCGGAGCGCGTCCCGGCGCGCGGCGCTGTCTGCTGCCATCCGCGTGCGATTCGGGTCTGCGCGGTGCAGCGCCGCGTCCTGGGAACCTTGGGACCGGGCTGGGCGGGACTGTGCCTGTGTGGTCCGCGGGTGCGGGGAGATGTCCGCGTCGCCTCCTGGGGCAGCTGCCGCGTTCCCGTCTGCTGGCCGGGGGATTCAGCGCGCTCTCCCCAGGGGGAAGACCCCGCCGACGCGGCGGTTGCCTCCGGACCTGAACTGCCTTGGGATGGGGCAGGGCACCCTCACCTTGTCCTCTTGGAAGTCGGACTGCATGGAGGCCTGGGCCTGGGCTCCGGTCTGCAGGACCCCCAGCACCCCTAGCACCCCCAGCAGTACCAGCCCTGTCCACAGCGAGCGGAGAGAGGCCATTGTGGTGCCCGGCAGGTGTCCAGGGCCTGGTACCACCCGTACGCACAAAGCAGGGAGTGGGCAGGAGCAGCTAGGGCACCACAGAGACCCCTATTTATTGGCCAGGCTTGGCCTGAGCCCAGGCCCAAGGACAGCCCACTGCAGGCTCGTGATGTGGGGGGCGGGGTGTCCAGGGCCAGCTGCAGCCTCATCCCCCACAGGGCCGCTTATGCAAGAGGCTCCCACAGAGCTGGCCTGGGCCCTGCTGCCCTGCTGCAGAGGGAGGCGGGTGAAGCCCAACCAGGGCACAGCCAGCCCCTTTTCAGCCCCAGGGCAAAGCAGCTGGGACCCTGCCCACCGCACTTCAGCTGGCAAAGGCCCCAGCAGCCAGGAGGGCCAGGGCGTGTGTGCCTCAGTGCTGCCCGGCCTCTGGGGCCCCGTCACGTCCCTCTGGGGCCAGGGCCTTCTTCCTGCAAACCCTGCCATCAGGCCCCAGCCCCACAGGGAACCCAGTAGTTTGGTCCTAAGACTCCTCAGGCCCCGCAGTAATGAGACGGGTGAACCAAGGTAAAGAAGCTCGGTGGGCATGCTTGGACTTGGGGGCCAGCTGAGGGTGCTGGGCACAGCCAGGGGCTGTGGGCAATGTCAGATGGAGGGTTCCCGGGCTCAGGAGGACTCACAGAGCCCCGTGGGCCCCACTCACCTGTTGTGCCCCAGCCTGGCCGTGGGTGGCAGCCCGTGGGGAAGGCAAGGGGAGCCCCTGAGCCCACTCTCCCGCTCCCCGGAGGAGCCCCAGCCTCACAGCCTGCCCATGCACCCCATAGGGTTTTGAGTGGAGCGGGGGCAGTGGCCTGGGCCACCGGGAGCTGCTCGACAGGCTGCTCTGGGCTCCGAATCCCGGGCAGAGTGGAAGTGGCTTGGACCGAAGCAGAGGAAGCCAGGTGGGCAGACATCGGCCCTCGGGCCCCAGGGTCCTCTGATTTAACGGGGCTGCCCTGGCTGCACCCACATGGTCCCTGGGTCCTGTCCAGATGTGTGGCCGTTCCTCTCCCAGCCCATGCCCGTCGGCTCCCTGCTGTGTCCAGGAGAGGGAAGGATGGGGACCTGGATCTCAGCGGTGCTGCAGAGGTCCAGGGAGGCCAGCACTGCCCCAGCTCTGGACTCGGCAGGGCCCCAGGGCAGAGGTGCTGCTGGGAAGCAGCAGCTAATCAGGCTCAGGAAGGGGCTGTCAAAGGGCAGCACCATGTGAGGGACACGGGCCGCCTGACTTCTGCATATCCTTGGTGCTGACTGCAGCACAGGGCTCCCCTGGGCTGTCCTTGGCCCAGCCCTTTCTGGGGTGTGGGTGGGGGCGACCCCCTGCCCAGCCTAGAGGTCCTGGCCTGGCCACCCATCAGGGACAGTGGTCCTGGCCCTGTGTCACAGGCAGGGTCCTGCAGGGAAGAAGGGGCCCTGGGTTGGGAGCTCGGGGGAGTGGGTGTCAGGCAGGGGCTCCCCCTACTTCTCAAGGAGGCCCCCGTGGAGGGCCTGCTGGGTGCCCTGCTGGGGGGGTCCCTGCTGAAGTCCCCATGCAGCTGTCCCTGCCCCCTCCACCGGCAGCCCAGGCCTGGCACCTTCCTGGGCTCAGCCCTGCCCTGTCCAGACCTCCCCAGCCCCTGGGCTGCAAGACTGAGCAGTTTCCTCTTCTGGCCCCTCCTAAATCGCAGCCGCGGGGACAGGCCAGGGCGCATTGCACTTGCTCAGGTGGGTGCTGTCCACCCTGCCTGAGAGTGCCCCCCTCACCAGCCTCCAGCCCAGCTCCAGCAGGGAGACCCTCACCTGAGCAGCACAGGCGTGGTGGCGGCTGCCTGAGCTGCCCGCCAGGCCAGGGACAGTGCCTCCTAGCACTGTGGGTGGAAGATGGCAGGGCCAGCGTTACCCCTGCTGCCCGGTCTGCACCAATGATGTGGACCTGGTGGGGACAGGGTGGCCCTGGCCTGAAACCCGATGGCCTCCCTGAGCCTCAGTTTCCCCCAGACAGGGTTCCTGAGGGCCGTGGCAGAGCTCACTGGCTGGGGCCCTATATGGGGCTGGAGCTGGGCCGAGCTCCCCACCTCCTCCTGTGCAAGTGGGGCCAGGCACCCACTCACCCACCCGAGTGTCCACTCACTGGCGCAAGTGCCCACTCACCTGCCCAGGCATCCGCCCACCCTCTCTTCTCCTCGCTGGGCAAGACCCAGAGCCTTGGCAAAGACAAGTTCGGGCATGGGCGGTGGGTGCCCCTGGGCTGTCTGGGGTCCTGTGGCCCGCCCCTAGGGCCTCACTCTGGGTGGAGGAGGAGTGGTGCTATCACTGAGCTCACCTGGGGGTCTCACCCAGGATGAGAGGCCCTGTCCCCAAATGTCAAAATGGTCAGATGCTGCATAGCCAGAGACCAACTCCTGAGAAGCACTGGCCACCTGGACAGATGTCTCAGACAAAGGTAGGACACAAATCTCCAAGGGCCTGAATTTTAAAAACACCTACAGACACTGAGAGGGTGGATGGCCCACACCTGAGGGAGCAGGGCCTCGAAAGGCCGGGTCTCAGCACCGAGTGGGGCCTACTCGTCTGCAGGACAATTTTTGGACAGTTTTAGGTTAGCAGAGAACACACGGAGATGGGAGAACGTTTTCATTCCCCCTGTGAGTCCCGTGGTGACATCTGACAGCACAGGCACTGTCACAGTTAACAGTGGTTAGCAGCCAGCGTTCACATTTTATTCAAATTCCCTTCATTGCCCCACGCCCTTGTTTCTGTCCAGGATGTGACCGGGATCTAGGTGACATTTCAGCGTGGTTTGAAAACCCCTCGGTTAAGGTCACTGCCGACATGACCTCTGCTCTGCTGACCTGGCCTTGACCTCCTGGCCCAGGAGACAGGGCTGGGGTGAAGCATCCTTTGTCCAGCCACTCTGTGGCTCCCGGCCTGGCACCCCTAGTGCAGCCCATGCTCAGAGCAGGCACTGCCTGTCTGCAAACTTTTATCATGAGATTTCTCTTCATGCTCCTGTGTGCCCTCTGCAATCATTTACTTATATCAGTGTGCACTTGCAGACATTTATTTTATGCTTTGTGCTGTGAGCTAATTCTTCATTATTTTTTTGCTCAAAGTGTTTCAGCTGTGGCCATGGAGAATGCGATGTCGCTCACTCCCTCCTTCCCTCCCCCTCTGGCAGCAGTGGGAATTGGACCTCGGGCCTCACACATGCTGGGCAAGTGCTCTACCGCTGAGCTGTAGCCTCAGCGCTTTTTATTTTTTATTTTGAGACGAGGTCACGCTAAGTTGCCCAGGCTGGCCTAGATCTTGTGATCCTCCTGACTCAGCCTCCCAAGTAGCTGAGATGACAATCGTGTGCCACCCGTGGCCCCTTCACATGGCTCCGTTGTTACCGGCTTTTGTTTCTGTGGGTCCCCCCCTTGATAAGTTTTGATGCACACAGACACGTGGGAGCCATCACCCCAGTCGGAGCAGTGAGGGTGTCTGGTCCCCAGAGTCCCCGAGCCCCTCGGGAAGCCCCCTCCTCCCCCAGGCCCGCTCTGTTCCCCCTCACTGTGGCCCACTTGTCATCACCCAGGCTTTCTCTAAATGGAGCTGCACCACACCTAGGGCACCTTTACGTCTGGCTGCGGCTCAGCGGGTTATTCCAGGGCCGCACACTGCAGCGCGCTCTGCAGCTGGGCAGGCGGCGGTGCTGTGTAGGGGTGCTCCCTCCCCTCTGCGGTCTGGTTGCTCTCAGTGGCTGGGGCTGTGACCCCCAAGCCCAGGTCTAGCGGCATATCTCCTGGTGGGGAGGTACTGGGGGTGACGCCGGGCTGGGGACAGGTGTGCTGTGCTCCCCGTGGGGAGGCAGGAGCACCCCGCAGCCGACTGACTGATCGAGGGGACAGAGCCCAGGCTCCATGCACGGGGCGCAGTGTCCTTCCCCTGCCCAGGCACTGATGGGAAAGGGGCGGCCACTCCAGTCGCCAGGATGCCAGGATGGAAAAAGCCAGCTCCCAGTTAATCCCCACAAAAAAGAAATAAAAGCACTTCCTGCAAAACACAAAAGGAATCCGAGGGCACATTCCTCTCTGACTGAGGCCCGTTTCCGAGGAGCTGGAGAACACAGCGGCTATGGGGGTGCCGGCTGTCTCTGCACGAATGCCCAGGTCTGCATGAACACACATGTGTATGCAGGCATGTCTCTGTCCATGTGTGCATGCATGTGCACATGTGTGTCCCCATGTGAGCACCTGTAGTGTGTCTGTGTGCTGTGTGTCTGTGCAGGGTGCACAAGTGTATGTGTCTGTGTGTGCCTCGGTGCCCCTGTGTGTGTGCACTTGTGTGTGTCCATGCACTGCACACACAATGTCCAGCCTCCTCCCCATGGGCCGAGCTCATGTACCCCAACTCGAACTCCGGCCCAGCTCACTTCTGTTTCCAGTTTGCCCAAGGAACCGTCCCGGGACCCCTGCCCACCTTCACGGTAATGACAAGCAGCTGCCAGCCACGCGCTGGCTCAGGCTGCTGTGAGCCGTGGCTGAGAGGGCACGGCCTAGGCCTGGCCCTGGGGCACTGGAGAGGACTGGAACGGTGGGGCCAGCTCGGGCTGCGTTCTGCTCATCTGTACCAATTCCTGGCTCCCTGGGAAAGTCCCTTGGGCAGGTTGCGCTGCCCCAGCCAGAGTGAAACACCCCCCATCCTGGCCCTTCTCTGCCCCAGTGCCTGGCACACAGGGCGCTGTGGAACCCGCATGCTTAGGGGTCTGCAGAGGCTGGCAGAGTCCCTTCCCAGGCATCACCCAGCCCTGCCCTCAGAGGTTCTGCCCACACCTGCCTCAGCCCCACTCCCAGGGGTCTCAGACAGCATCCTGCCCCCTCCTGGGAGGGGAGGAATAGGCCCCGTGTCGTGTATGTGGGTGACGGGCAACCAGGACCAGGCTCCACCACAGTCCTGAGGAAAGACAGGTTGGGGGAGGGAACTGCAGTGCATGGCCTGGAGCCCTCAGGACCCCGAGGGAGGGTGGCATCGACAGGGGCCACACCCAGAAGGGCGCCAGTCCTGCTCTGAAGCCGAGCCCCCGCCGTGCGGACCACCTGGTCCCCAGAAAACTGCAGGCTCAGCGGCCCAGGCCCCAGCGGGCAGCGGGTCCAGGCCCAGCAGGCCCAGGTGGTGACGGGAGGAGCTGCTTTCCCTCAGCCAAAGTAAAGACACTGCCTGAGGGCGGGGCTGTGGGAAGGCAGAGGCCACCCCACCCGGGAGCAGCCCAGCTCCTACTCCTGTCCCACCACCGCAGCCATGCCCTGCAGAGCCTGGGCACTGACCCTGCCGCTGTCCCCTGGAAGCCGCGTCCTGCGGGGCATTGCCCACAAGCCCAGCTTCCCCACACCCCTGGCAGCCCTGCCCCAAGGTGGGCAGGACCGGGCCGGACCCCGCACTGGACAGTGAGTACCAGGGACTGATGGATGTGCCCATCTCCCTGGGTTTCTTCCGGCTTCAATTTATTTGAGGCCAAATTGTCAGAGGCGCAGAAATTGCAAGTCTTGCTTGTATTATTCCCTGCCACGCAGATTCCACAGCACTGGGAGGTGACAGTGTCATCACCGTGGCCCTTGGCGTGAGTCAGTTCTGGGCAGCAGGCCGCTTCTCAGGGTTCGCATCTGCCCAGCACATCTTGTCCTTCCTGTCACATCTGGCACTTTGTTCTGTCTTCAGTGTTCTCTGGGAGGACAGCAGACAGCGGGTTTGTGCTTCTCCCTGCAGTGCTGGGGGTCACACAGGGTCTGGTGTATGTGCGCCCGGTCAGCGCTGTCTGTGTGGTGCTGGGGACGTAACCCGGGCTTCCAAACTGAGCTACATCCCAGGCCTCTTCTAAAATTATTTTCTATTTTGAAGCCCACCCTCCCATGCTCTGTGGCTCAGGGGCCTGGGAAGTAAATAGCCCTGGTCAACATCTCTGGGGTCTCCAGCCAGGGACCCCTGGGGGCTGGGGACAGCGCTGGGTTCTGCAGACTTTGCCAAGGGTGGTGGCAGCCCAGGGTGTCTGATCTGCCCCGCAGCTGGGGCCCTAGGCAGGCTGAGGGCAAACCACAGGCCCGGCTGGACCTCAGGGAGCCGGAGCAGGGGCGAGGCTTTGTGCGTGGCAGATAGGGGCGAGGAGACCCTGCCAAGTGGCAGCCAGTCTTCCAGACCTCAGTTTCCCCATCTGTACAGAGCCTCTCTGTGCAGGCTGTGCAGGGTTAGGTGGGAGGTGGTGCCTGTACCCCTCTGCCAGGGACCACACGGGGCCAGGCCCTGAGCAGGAGCTGCTTCTCTGGGAGAGAAGCCTAGCGGGTGCCTCTGGTGCCCTCGCTCTGTGACCTATGGTGACCGGCACCAGGCTGGCACCTGGGCTAGGCTGGGCAAACTCCAGGCATGTGGAGCTGGGTGGTAGCTGTGAGCCAGGAGGAGGGTCTGGCTGGTGGCTATGCCCCTCTGGCTCTCCATGGGGCCCCGAGTGCCACGCCCACATCCCCTTCCAAGAGTGGGGCATCTGTGTCTTGTCAGGGCCACCTGTTTTGTCAGGGTCCAGCCAGAGGGGCAGGGGATGTCCTGCCCTGCAGCTCTGCCCTGGCAGCTGGGGATTCCATGGAGTGGCACAGTGAGTGAGCTCAGCAGGGCCGGGTGGGCAGCGGCTCCATCCTGGGTACTAAAGGACCAGCAGGGAGCTTTGAGGGACTGTGGTGGGCCTGTGGGGTCAGTGGGTCTCCTTGTCCTTCTCAGTCACAGCGGTAACACCTGAGGTCCAGGTGAGGAACGTTTATTCACGCTGGGGCCGGTGGTGGGGGAGGGGGTGCTCAGCAAGGGGCTGGGGGGCCCTGTGTGTGCGGACAACGATTGCACAGGGGACCCTGGAGGGAGGAGGTGTCAGGAACAGGCGCAGTGCGGACCGCGGGGTGTGGTGCCCTCCCTCACGGCCATCAGCCCCTACGGCTGCGGGGGCGCCGTCATGCAGCTGCACTGTGTTTGCCACGACCACTGCCCACGACCCCTGCCTCTGCCTGTGACCAGGAACACGATGTTGTCCTCCATGAGGCCCTGCGCTTTGGACAGGCGGATGAACTTGTCTGGTGTCCCAGGGGGCAGCGTCCAGGTCCTGCCTGCAACAGGGGTGTTAGGGTTTGTCTAGATGTCCCCCAAGGCCTCGTGCAGCGGGAGGGTTTTTCCAGAGGTGCCTGGACCTAGAGCGTGTGATTGATTCATGGTTCACTGCTAGGATTAAGGTGCTGGGACTGAGGGTGGGTGACTGCTGGATCAGCCCACTGATTGGATTGGCACCACCCTAGTCCCGGTGCCACCTGTCCCCAAGTCACCCTCTGCCCTGGGGTCATGCACAGGCCCAGGGAACTGCGGGCTCACCCAGCAGGCTGACCCTGATGACCGGCTGGCCAGGTGCTTGTCTGTGGGACAGCATAAGGGCAAAGCTGGTGTAGTTGGTGTCCACCACCTGGACGTGCTCCGTGTCGATGCTGGGCCCTGTGGGGCACAGGTGTCAGCCTGTGCTGGCCCCTCTGCGCCCCCACCCAGCGTCCCGCTCACCTCCGTGGTCCACGGTGAACCGTGCAGGCTGGGGCGTCGGCATCAGCAGGTAAGACCAGGTGTCACAGTGCTTGCCCCTGAGGGGTTGGCAGGGGCCACAGGCTGAGGGCACCCCAGGACCCCACTCTTCCGTGGAGTTCCAGCCCGGCAGGCGGCAGAGGACCCGAGGCCCTGTCCCCCGGCCCTGGCTGGGGGCTCGGCCCTGGGCCCTTCAGGCGGCCCCTGCTCGTCCCTGGAGCTCAGCCCGGTGCGTGTGCACAGGACCCGGCTGCAGGGATGTGCGTGACAGTGAAAGGTGTTTTCCAGGTGCAGCGAAGGGCATGGAGGTGACTCTGGGGTGGCCCAAGCATCTGGCGGGGACACTGGTGACCTCGCTCTGGTCCCCAGAGGTGATAGAGGAGCAGGTGAGCTCCCCGGGGGCTCCCGCAGGTTGTGCTCAAGCCCCCCAGTCCACCGGCTCCTGGACCAGGCAGGGGCTGACGCACCTCCCTAACCCCGGGGCCTGGACTTCTCGGAGCCCACTGGCCCTGTGGGTGCTTTGCTACTTGTGTAGCTGTTAGATAGAAATATTACAGGCAGTCAGACAGGGCCAGGCCCTCGAAGGAGCCAACATGAAAGACAAGATACCTTGTGAATGGAGACATATTTGCTGTGGGCCAGACCTCAAGACAAAAGACTAAACAAATGCACCCACACTCCTCCCCACTGTGAACATCAGGGACTGATACTCTAAGTAGGTAGCAACCACCTTGAAAAAGCCAGGAGGAGTCACTAGCCCAACCCCCGACAGGAAAAGCCCTTGTTCTGTATTCATACCTGCTTGCTACTTGACTCCTTCCCCATTTGATCCCAATTTATCAATTTTACCTGAGCAATTATACTCGTAATCTTATTGGCTGACCACAGTTCTGTCCCACCTCACGCCCACCTTGTAATTTCCCATTTTCTCCCTACCTTGGGCCTGCCTCACCTTGTGGTTTTGCTCTATAAAATCCCAGGGACGGGCAAGGTCCCTGGGCAACCCATTCGGACCCCCTTCTGTCCCTGTCTTCGGCAGAAGCTTTCTTTCCCTTGATAAATATATTCTGCTCTTAACCCCCGTTGTTCCTAAAATTCATTCTTCGATATTAGAGAACACGAACTCGCCCTAGATACGTTCAGGTTGGGATTTCTATTTTCCTGTATCACCTGGACTCCAAGCGCCCCGACCAGAGCCGCCCCCTGGGCCACCCCCCTCCCCGCCCCAGCACACCAGGAGGGTGAACCACAAAGGCTGTGGGATGGGTGTGCCACCCCTTCAGATTCCTGCAGCTGTCCATCACCCCCACCAGGGGGTGGGTACTGTCCAGGCAGGCCAATCAGAGTTCTCACTGATAGATGCCGTGATTGGTTCAGAAGAAGCACATGACTCAAAAGAGCCAATCAGAGACTTCCCAGGCTAGTCCGGATGCTCCCCTTTTTAAAAAAGGGGACCCTTTACACTGTCAGCTTGGGACTGCCTACCCTGTGAGCTGAGAACCTGCCACTCAAAGGTCAGGCTGGGCCAGAGAGAGACTCAGGGAAACAGGACCATGATTACAGGAATTGAGCTCCTGGATCCAGTTCTGCCTAAAATCCATCAACCTGCCACATCCAGAACGGCAATCCAGTAAACACTTTTTTGTGTACAGCCCACCAACTGGATTGGGTGATTGGCCGGCAGAGTCACTCAGCAGCATGCAATGGACCTAGACAGTGGGCTAGACAGCAACATGCATTGGACCTAGGGCTAGACAGTGGCCTTGGGGACACAGGCGGACCCCGGCTCAGGCCCTGATCCTGATCTTGGGGATGGTGGGAGCAGGCCACTCACCGTATCATGGAGTTCAACACCTCAAAGTGGGTGTTGTTTTTCAGCTCGAAAATCGCCGTATAAGGGTTCAGCAAGGGGCGGTCCTGCTTCTTAAAGGCGTTGCCTGCCAGGCCGAGGATGAACCAAGCACCCTGGAACTGTGGGCCAGGGACAGTGACACAGGCCCCACCGCGCCAGCGGCTGTCCAGGATCCCTCCCCAGGCGCTGGGCCGGAGCCGGGACGGCACCAGGGATGCGGGGCCTGGGGGGGACAGGGTGACCCGGCAGCGGCTAGGTGGGCTCCTTGAGCCTCAGTTTTCAGACATCAGAGGTCGTGCTGGCGGAGGCCCAGAGGGCACAGGCAGCCGGACGACCAAGCAACGACCTTTCCTGTTGGGACCGGGTGGCCTGGGCAGTGCCTCCTCCCTCCTGACCCGGCCCTGGGGCCTGGCCCGCCGCGTACCCCGGACCCTGCAGCCCCACCTGCTCACTGTGAAACTGGCTCAGCGGGGGTTGGACTGGCAGCGGCACCAAGGCCTGGGCCTGCAGGACTCCGTGTAGGCAGAGCCAGAGCCACGGGGTGCACCAGGGCCCCATCTCCAGGCTGGGGCTGAGGAACGTGTGGAGAGGCCACCTGGCTGGTGCCCTGGGACAGCTCCCCAGAACTGCCCATCTGCCCGGGGTCTCCAGTCCCAGCCTGGAGGGGCCTGGCCTGGGCCTCCATGTCCCCTTCCCCGGGAGGAGTCAGAACCCTGCCCACTGCCCCTCCTGACACAGAACGTCCTGTTCCAGGCCGGGAGCAGTCGGTGGACAGCCCGGCCGGGCACCTCATGGGGCCCGCTGCCCACGCCTGAGAGCACGGAGTGGGTGGCCAGCCCCAGCCAGCGGGGACTGGAGGGAAGGGCTCAGGGGGACACTGGCTGGGAACAGAGCTGAGACGGCTGTGCTGCATGGCTCCCACCTGCCCTGGTCCCACCTGGACACCCCTGGGACTCAGCGCCTCTACCTGAACCCCCCGCCTGTCCCAATGGCGGCTGAGCCTTGGAACCCTGTGCTGAGCTGGGCAGGGGTGGTAGCTCCCTGTGCTGGGTGCCTCCCCCTCTCGCCCCCACCTGGTGCTGTCCCTCCCTCACGGCACGCTGGGGACACTTGAGGGCAGTCATCAGCAGTGCCCCATGTACAGGGATAGACATCACCCACGCAGGGCCCAGCCATGGAAGCACCTTCCCTAGCCAGCTTGAGCGTCATCAAGGTCCCCAAGCTCCCAGCCCTGGGCTCCCACCCCAGCCGGGCCAGCGCATGGGACCTGCGTGGTTGGCACTGCGCCCAAGGATGGTTGTGGTATGGCACCTCTGCCTTCCTGGCTGGAAGCTCCTGGTGACACTGCAGGGCCGGTGTGGGTGCTAGACCAAGGCGACGGGGCTCCTGGGGTGGGGCAGGCGCTGGGGACAGCGTGGCAAGGCATTAGGGTCGGGCCAGAGTGTGGGAGCCCTGCTACACTGGGAGCTGTCTCCTGCCTCCTGGGACTGCTGAAACAGCACCCTGCTGAGCCAGTGCCCGGCCCTCCCCCACAGCCTCAGTGTCCAGACATCAGAGGTCACACTCCCAGCCCTTCTCTCCCTGCACCCCTGCCTCCCACAGGCTCCATCACGTCCTTCCAGGGACAGTGTGCCTCCTCTGCCCGCCAGGCGCTTGGCACAGTCCTCACTGTCCCCGATCTGGATGCCGGGCAGCTCCTGGGGCTGGAGGGAGCTCGTCCCACAGAGATGTCCACTGGGCAGGGAGGTCCGATGCAGGGCTGTGGGTGCTGCTGGGGGACCCTGGGCGGGGGCCCTCTCCAGTCCTTGACCCCTGGTAAATCTCAGGCAAAACACCCGGTCAAGTGGTCCTTTACATGGATTTTTTTTTCCTTGAGGTAGTCTCACTATGCAGTTCAGGCTGGCCTTGAACTCCCAGCAATCTTCCTGCCTCAGCCTCCTAAGTGCTGAGATCACAGGTTTTTTCCCATAGATTTTTTTTTTTTTTTTTTGTACTGGGAATCAAACTCAGGACCTTGGGCTTTCCAGGCAGGAGCTGTGCCACTGAGCTATATCCCCAGCCCATTTCCATAGATTTTTGAAACTACTTTTCTTACAAAATGTTGCAAATCACCTACTGGAGTTAAAGGGAAAATACAGACTGTAAGCCATGTTTCTGAGCAGGCACAGGGATGCGTGCCTGTGATCCCAGCGACTCAGGCAGCTGGGCAGCAGGGTCAGGAGTTCAAGGCCAGCCTGGGCAACTGAGCAAGACATTGTCTCAAAATTAAATTTTTAAAAAAGAGCTGGGTTTTTGGCTCAGTGGTACAGTGTTTGCCTGACATGCACGAATGCAGACCTGTCCTCACCTTAGACCAGGAAGCAGCCCAGGTTCCCAGTGTCTCTGTAGAGCTGCCAGCAGATCCCGCCCTGAGGAATGGGGCAGGAGCGGCACCCCAGCGGAGGGGACCCCAACCCAGGAGCCATGTGGGAAACTAGTGCAGTTATAGCAGGCTGAAGCCACAGCCATGAGGAGCCACTTCCTGCAAACTTGGGGAGGAGCAAGAGGGGCTGGGGTGGTCGAGACACCCACCCCTCCTGCCCCTCCCCTGCCGAATGTCGAAGTTGGCCTGGGGTTGGATGGCGCTGGTGGGGGGCACAGGCCGAGGGGGCCTCTGAGTCCTCTGGCCCTGCGAGCCGGCCACCAGGGGCAGGGTTAGCAGCAGCCCAACCCTGGTGGCCAGCACGGTGGGTGCCCTAGTCACCGCTGGCCCGGGTCAGGGTCCACCAGCCAGTGACCCTGGAAGCCCGGCCCAGGAAGTCCACATATGTCCCTCATCTCCCCCTGCCATGGGCCGGGGCCCCAGCCTCCTCTTGAGCCCGAGGGACAAAGGTGGTTCTGACCTCTGGCTCCTGGTCCACGTTCCCCACCCTTTTCCACTGGGGCTCAGGGCTCAGCCCTTTGCACATCCATGGTCTGTGAACCAACAGTTGGCCTCATTGCCACAGCCAAAGTTGGGCTCATAAAAACAAACAAACAAACAAACAAACAAACAAACAAACAAAGTTGGGCTCATAAAACCGCTTGCTCAACGCCCGACCTGGGAGGGTGCTGGGGAGGGTCTCGAATCCACGCCCCAGAGCCTCTCCGCGGATCCTGTGCACAGCCGCCGCTACTTCTCGCCACCAGGGGCGCTGTTCCAAGCGAGGCTTAACGTGCGCAGGCGCAGAAATCAGCACCGTTGGCGCGCCCGGGCCTCCAGTCAGCCTATCGATGTCTCGGGGCTCGTAGCATCAAGCCTGGCGGACTCTACCATAGAGACGCAGGGGCGGCGGCCGGAGCGGCAGCGGAAGCGGGTCCTAGCCGGGCTGCGGGCGGAGGAGCCGTGGTGAGTCCCGGCCTCGGCCCTGCCGCTGTCCTTGGCGTCACCGGCCTCGTCCAACTTGTGTCTGGCCGGTCTTCTCCCGCCACCACACCGGCCGTACACTCTTAGCTGCCCGTCCCCGACCTTGCCCCTTTGCGGTCGCTACTGTCTGGCCGGGCCGGGTCTCGTCCACACTGCCGGGCCCGCCCCGCCCCGCCCCGCCCGCCTGCCACCTGCGCGGGTGCGGGCTGCCGGGGTCCCCGGGAGGAAGTCGGTGCCCCGCTGGAAGCCTCGGGCGGCCGGGGCGGGGACCTGCCCCGGCGGCGCTGTCACCCTGCCCCGGGTCGTGGGGAGGTCACGGGGCCCCGCCTGGGCGGCCTGAGCCCGCGCGAGCCCCGCCGGGCGTGAGGACGAGGGGCTGGGGTCCCGGCGGCGCCAGGAGCGCCCCCCGCGAGCTCTGGGGAGTGGCTTGGTGGGGCGGCCGCCCGTGCCCTCGCTGCCTCGCCCGCCTGGTGTTCCCGGTCCGGCCTCTCCTCCGGGCAGCGGGAGGGGGCCTGGGGTCAGGAAAGCTGCTGGTGGTTCCAGGGCCGCGGGCAGAATGTCACGATGGACGAGGGGGGCGCGCCCCTGCTCCCCGACAGCCTCGTCTACCAGATCTTCCTGAGCCTGGGCCCCGCTGACGTGCTGGCCGCGGGGCTGGTGTGCCGCCAGTGGCAGGCCGTGTCCCGCGACGAGTTCCTGTGGAGGGAGCAGTTCTACCGCTACTATCAAGTGGCCCGAGACGTGCCCCGACACCCAGGTCAGCACCCAGCGGGCGGCAGGACCACTGCGGTGGGGCGGGCTCTTCAGCAGCACAGGGGTGCAGCCCCAGCAGGGGCCTGACCTTGGCCAGAGCGCTCTGGATGTCCTGTGGCCCAGGTTCAGCCTTTGGCCTCGCCTGTGGGGAGGGAGCCGGGTGCAGGGGTGACACCGACCTGTCTGCAGCCGCCACGTCCTGGTATGAGGAGTTCCGGCGGCTCTACGACTCGGTGCCCTGCGTGGAGGTGCAGACGCTGCAGGAGCACACGGACCAGGTCCTGCACCTCAGCTTCTCCCACTCGGGATACCAGTTTGCCTCCTGCTCTAAGGACTGTACGGTGAAGGTGAGGATGTGCACTGGGGCCTGCGCTGCACAGCACCGAGACGGAGAGGGGGCCCAAACCGCCCAGGAGGGCAGGCCCCCAGGGCCGTGGCACTCTGGACAGCCGCAGGGGAGGGCTGGGATTTGCACGTGTCTGGGTCCCCCGGGCCGTGGGGCATCCCTTGAGGGTCCTGGCCAGGCGCCACCCACTCGTGCTCCCGCGCAGATCTGGAACAACGACCTGCCCATCTCCTTGCTGCACAGTGCGGACATGAGGCCCTACAATTGGAGCTATACCCAGTTCTCCCAGTTCAACCAGGACGACTCGCTGCTGCTGGCCTCAGGCGTGTTCCTGGGCCCGCACAACTCCTCGTCCGGTGAAATTGCGGTCATCAGCCTAGGTGAGCAGGGGCTCTGGGCTGGGCGGCAGTGCCACCCTCTGTCAGCAGCATGCCCAGCCCCTGCCTCCCTGCAGACTCCTTCGCCCTGCTGTCCCGAGTGCGAAATAAGCCCTATGATGTGTTTGGCTGCTGGCTCACGGAAACTAGCCTCATCTCGGGGAACCTGCACCGCATCGGCGACATCACTTCCTGCTCTGTGCTGTGGCTCAATAACGCCTTCCAGGTGCGGCAGAGGCAGGGCCAACCAGGACCAGCAGGGAGGTAAGGGCAAGGGGGACTCCCCAGGCCTGCCCTACAGCTTGGTGACCTCCACAGGACGTGGAATCGGAGAACGTCAACGTGGTCAAGCGGCTCTTCAAGATCCAGAACCTCAATGCCAGCACCATCCGCACGGTGATGGTGGCCGACTGCAGCCGCTTCGACAGCCCTGACCTCCTGCTGGATACTGGCGACCAGGCTGTGCCCCCCTGCCGTGTATTTGACCTGGGCTGTGACAGTGAGGATGAGGCAACTGGCCCTGCACTGCGTGCCCCAGGCCACGCCAAGGAAGGCTTGCGGCGTGCACTGGACGGCATGCTGGACGGGCACACACAGCTGTCGGAGCGTGCGCTGGAGACCAGAGTGGCTGAGCTGCTGGCCCAGGGCCGCACCAAACCCCCAGAGCGTAGCGCTACCAGGAACAAGTACCTCATCTTCACCACCGGCTGCCTCACCTACTCGCCTCACCAGATTGGTAATGCCGGGTGGGGCCGGCACAGGAGGAGCTGCAGCACCCACCACCCTGCTGCCTGGCCTCCTCAATCCCAAGTCCCCTTTGTCCTTTCGCTCGGGCTGAGCAGTGGAAGGTGCAGTGGCGGGGGTGGGGCATGCTCAAGGGGCCCAGGGTGCTCTGGGGTGACCCTGCACTCTGCCTCCCACAGGCATCAAGCAGATCCTGCCGCACCAGATGACCACAGCAGGGCCCGTGCTGGGTGAGGGCCGGGGCTCTGACGCCTTCTTTGATGCACTGGATCATGTCATCGATGTACACGGGCACATCATCGGCATGGGGCTGTCCCCTGACAACAGGTGAGCCTGCGTCTTGGCGGGGGGCCTGCGGCAGCCGTGCCCACAGCATGCTCGTTCCTAGCGCATGCCCCTTGCTCAGGTACCTGTACGTGAACAGCCGTGCCTGGCCGCCCGGCTCTGTGGTGGCCGACCCCATGCAGCCACCACCCATCGCAGAGGAGATCGATCTCCTGGTGTTCGACCTCAAGACCATGCGGGAGGTGAAGCGGGCCCTGCGTGCACACCGCGCCTACACACCCAACGACGAGTGCTTCTTCATCTTCCTGGACGTCAGTAGGGATTTTGTGGCCAGGTGCGGGTGCCAGGCGCAGGGTGCAGCAGGGCTGGGGCGGGGGCACCAACGGTGGCCACAGAGCTCACCCCAGGGCCTGTCCCGCAGTGGGGCTGAGGACCGGCATGGCTACATCTGGGACCGGCACTACAACATCTGCCTGGCCAAGCTGCGGCACGAGGATGTGGTCAACTCGGTAGCCTTCAGCCCCCAGGAGCAGGAGCTCCTGCTGACTGCCAGTGACGACGCCACCATCAAAGCCTGGCGCTCACCCCGCACCATGCGCATCTTTCAGGCCCCTCGCCCCCGCCCCCGGCCCTTCTTCTCCTGGTTTGCCAGCCACAGGTGCTGAGGACACCGGTGGTGACCTGAGCTGTTGCGACTCGTGGGGGTGACGGCCCAGGTTCTTTCCTGAGCGAGCAGAGCAGCTTGCAGCAGCAAAGCCTTAGAATGGGGCACCTGCCCCTGCACGCTCGAGCACGCAGCTGCTCACGTGTCAAGCTCAGCACTTGGTAGCTGCTGAGGGTGCCACCGCAGACCCCATGCCAGCCTTCTGGCAGCCTGGGGTGCACAGGACACTGAAGCCTCTCCTTCCACCCACTGTCTCCTGGCTGGAGCGTGATACAGCTCCGGGCTAGTCAGCCTGCTACTTGGCGCAGTCAGTGCAACCCACACCTCGGGTCCCGGGCCCGAGACGGCAGTGCGCA